TACCCTTGAAGATCGCTAAGCGGAAGTGTTGCAAGGAACACAGTTGATTGAGTCGTACTCGCGGCTATTCAAATCGCGGAAGATCCGATCTAGCGCCGAATGGACGACGCCTCGGTGTTCAACACAGGTACAGCCTGGGGACGTCTCCTCGTTCTTCATCCAGCAAGAGGAGATGAGAAGTTGAGGAAGAACTCCGGCAGCATGACAGCGTGGTGGTGGAGCTCTTGGTTCTCTGGCAGAGCTTCGCCAAGCTCAACGGAGGAGGAGGAGGTGTAGGAGGGGGAGGGTTGCGCCAGGGGCTGAGGTGCGGGTGCCCTCCCACGCCCCTCTATTTATAGGGTGAAGGGGAGAGGGGGCCGCCCCCTAGATGCATCTAGAGGGGGGCGGCCAAGGGGGTGCTTGCCCCCCGAGTTGGTGGGGGGGGGCCACCCCTATGGTTTTAACCCTAGGCGCCTTGGGCACCTTGGGGGTGGGGCACCAGCCCACTAAGGGGCTGGTTCCCACCCATATTCAGCCCATTTGGTCCCCCGGGGCAGGTGGTCCCATCCGATGGACCCCCGGAACCCTTTTCGTGGTCCCGGTGGCCGGTACAATACCGATAACCCCCGAAACCTTTCCGGTGACTGAAACTGGAGTTCCCATATATAAATCTTCAGCTCCGAACCATTCCGGAACTCCTGGTGACATCCGGGATCTCATCCGGGACTTCGAACAACTTTCAGTAACCACATACAATTCCCATTACAACTCTAGCGTCACGGAACCTTAAGTGTGTAGACCCTATTGGGTCAGGAACCATGCAGACATGACCGAGACACCTCTCCAGCCAATAATGAATAGCAGGATCTGGATACACATATTGGCTCCCATATGTTCCACGATGATCTCATCGGATGAACCACGATGTCGGGGATTCAATCAATCTCGTATACAATTCCCTTTGTCCATCGGTATGTTACTTGCCCGAGATTCGATCGTCGGTATCCCCATACCTTGTTCAATCTCGTCACCGGCAAGCTTTACTCGTTCCGTAACACATGATCCTGTGGCTAACTCCTTAGTCACATTGAGCTCATTTATGATGATGCATTACTGAGTGGGCCCAGATACCTCTCCGTCATACGGAGTGACAAATCCCAGTCTCGATTCATGCCAACCCAACAGACACTTTTGAAGATACATGTAGTGCACCTTTATGGTCACCCAGTTACGTTGTGACGTTTGACACACCCAAAGCATTCCTACGGCATCCGGGAGTTGCACAGTCTCATGGTCTAAGGAAATGATACTTGACATTAGAAAAGCTCTAGCAAACGAACTACACAACCTCATGCTATGCTTAGGATTGGGTCTTGTCCATCACATCATTCTCCTAATGATGTGATCCCGTTATCAACGACATCCAATGTCCATGGTCAGGAAACCACAACCATCTATTGATCAACGAGCTAGTCAACTAGAGGCTCACTAGGGACATGTTGTGGTCTATGCATTCACATGTATTACGGTTTCCGGTTAATACAATTATAGCATGAACAATAGACAATTGTCATGAACAAGGAAATATGATAATAACAATTTTATTATTGCCTATAGGGTATATTTCCAACAATCTCCCACTTGCACTAGAGTCAATAATCTAGTTACATAGTGATGAATCGAACACCCATAGAGTTCTGGTGTTGATCATGTTTTGCTCGTGGAAGAGGTTTAGTCAACGGATTTGCGACATTCAAATCCGTATGTACTTTACAAATATCCATCTCTCCATCTTAAATATATTCATGAATGGAGTTGAAGCGGCACTTGATGTGCTTGGTCTTCTTGTGAAATCTGGGCTCCTTGGCAATGGCAATAGCTCATGTGTTGTCACAAAAGAGAGTCATCGGGCCCGATGCATTGGGAATCACTCCTAGGTCGGTGATAAACTCCTTCATCCAGACTCCTTCCCGTGCTGCTTCCCGAACAGCTATGTACTCCGCTTCACATGTAGATCCCACCATGACACTTTATTTGCAACTGCACCAGCTGGCTGCCCCACCATTCAAATATACATGTATCCGGTTTGTGACTTGGAGTCATCCAGATCTGTGTCAAAGCTAGCATCGACGTAACCCTTTACGACGAGCTCCTCGGCACCTCCATAAACGGAAACATATCCTTAGTCCTTCTCAGGTACTTTAGGATATTTTTGACCGTTGTCCGGTGTTCCATTCCAGGGTCACTTTGGTACCTCCCTACCAAGCTTATGGCAAGGTTCACATCAGGTCTGGTACACAACATGGCATTCATAATAGAGCCTATGGCCGAGGCATAGGGGATGACACTCATGTTTTCTCTTTCTTCTGCCGAGGTCGGGCATTGAGCTGCGCTCAATCTCACACCTGCAATATAGGCAAGAACCCCTTTTTGGACTGATCCATATTGAACTTCTTCAATATCTTGTCAAGGTATGTGCTTTGTGATAGACCAATGACGCGTCTCGATCTATCTCTATAGATCTTGATGCCTAATATGTAAGCAGCTTCTCCAAGGTCCTTCATTGAAAAACGCTTATTCAAGTAGGCTTTTATGCTTTCCAAAAGTTTTATATCATTTACCATCAACAGTATGTCATCCACATATAATATGAGAAATGCTACAGAGCTCCCGCTCACTTTCTTGTAAATGCAGGCTTCTCCCTAAGTTTGTATAAACCCAAACGCTTTGATCACTTCATCAAAGTGGATTTTCCAACTTCGAGATGCTTGCACCAGCCCATAAATGGAGCGCTGGAGTTTGCATACCTTGTCGGCATTCTTAGGATCGACAAAACCTTCCGGCTGCATCGTCTACAATTCTTCCTTAAGGAAACTGTTAAGGAATGCCGTTTTGACGTTCATTTGCCAGATCTCATAATCATAGAATGCGGCAATTGCTAACATGATTCGGACGTACTTCAGCTTCGCTATGGGTGAGAAGGTCTCATCGTAGTCAACTCCATGAACTTGTCGATAACCCTTAGCGACAAGCCGAGCCTTATAGATGATCACATTACCATTCACGTCAGTCTTCTTCTTGCGTCAGCACATAAATTTCGACGACACCCCGTTCGCCGTGTGCCCGTGTCGGCGACGGGTAATGTTGTCATCGGCGTCGGCTGGAAAGCAGAGGCTCAACTGACATGGACTCTACCATATAGATATAGCTGGAGCAGGTTTAGTTGCCATGCACAAATTTGGCGGTCGTCCAGGACGCGCGCGAAGAACGGGTCGTGCACGGGGTGGGGCACCTTCTCGGCCGACGACAGCCCCGTCAAGACTTGCGAATTATTGGTCGAACCCGTGGAGCACAACACGCGGTGGGAAACCAGGCCCTGCTCCTACGCCATGCTGGTGGAGAAGTCATGGTACACCTTCTCTACGCCCGACATGTACGGCGACCAGACGCTACCCAAAAGGTTCCCCCGGGGAGTCCCCTTTGCGCTCGATTTCGCCGCCGGGAACACTTGGTGTCCGGCGGAAGGACAGCCGCCGCCTCGGGACTACGCCTGCGTCAGCGGCAACAGCTCCTGCGCCAACACAACATATTCTCCTGCAGCTGCAGGCTACATCTGCAAGTGCTGGGACCATTACGATGGCAACCCATACATTGCTAACGGATGCCAATGTACATACTTACATACTCCTACATTCATACATGCAAGAAACAAACTGTCCATTACCAACTCGTTAACGTGTCGATGATTCTTCAGACATCGATGAGTGCAAGCAACCCCAAGTGTACCCCTGCTCAAATGGTGGGATCTGCAAAAACAGGCCCGGAGGCTACGACTGTCCATGCAAATTCGGAATGAAAGGCGACGGCAAAGCCGGAACCTGCACACATGTATTTACTCCAGCAGCAAAAGCGACTGTGGGTAAGCTACCGCTATACTGCACCTGCAATTTATTTATTTGTCTCACCTAAATCAATTACTTCAAGCACCCTAAACCCTAAACCCTAGAAAAGTAGAAATGTATCAGAATGGTGCGTGCAACCATTTATTAAAAACAGGTCCAAAAAGTCTCGGTACCAGAACAAGCTATGTCAGAGCTGAAAATAAAAAGTAAAGACAGCCACAACCGGCGAAAATAGAAACAGATGACTAAACACCTATCCTATTACATGACCGCCACCCAAACCGGTTGAAGATATCCCGAGCTACCATCACCCATCGGATAGACCCAGTAACCAAAGGCACCCTGGCTTCCATACGAGTGAGTAGCGACTACATATGGATCAAAGCAGTGGCCCTGAAGATAACCTGCAAAAAATTAATACGGGTTTGTCTGTTAAAAACCATGTCGTTCCTGAAGTTCCATATAGCCAATAGTAATGCATGCACATACTCCTACACATATATGTTCCATCGTATTCATCTCTACTCCATTTAGCCACGTCCCAAATAATGTGTGAATATTATTTGGAGGTGAGATATTGAAGGCTATATACACTGAGCACCATAAAACTTTGGTCATCGGACAATCGAGAAAGAGGTGTTTGATATTTTCATCATGCTCACAAAAGCTATATCTCCGAGAGCCCTCCCAATTACGTTTTGCCAACTTATCCTTAGTCAGAATCACCTCCCTGTGAACAAACCACATGAAGACCTTGATTCTTAATGGAACTTTGATCTTCCAAATATGTGAAGATTTTGGGATTGGACCGGAATTAATTAGATCCAAATACATTGATTTCATAGAGAAAATTTCATTAGTAGTTAACTTCCAGTGATACTCATGAGACAAGTGCACATCCATCAACCTTCTGACTAAATGGAGCCAAGCTTCCCAAAGGTCTCCAGCCAAAGGTCTCCTGAATTGAATATTTAGAGGGTTGGAGTGTAAGATTGTAGCAACATAAGCCTCTTTACGTTGTACAATATTATAGAAAGAAGCATATTGTGTGGGTAAAAGCGTCTCCCCTAACCACATATCCTCCCAGAATCTCGTCAAAGTATCATTTCCAATGATAAATTTGGTTCTATGGAAGAAGTCTGCTTTCGTTCTCATCAGACCCTTCCAAAAAGGCGAGTCATTGGGTCTAGCAGTAACCTGGGCTAAGGTCTTAGACTCCATGTACTTATTGCGCAGAATCTGGGCCCACGTGCTTTCGGTCTCTACAGATAACCGCTACAGCCATTTGCTGAGCAGACATATAGAAACACATCTATAACATAGCAACTGTCTGTTCATCTCCTGATGCATACAGAGCCGCATATATATATATAATTGTTTCATAGGATCAACATTTCGGTTCCACTTCTTAATTCCTATAAATCACCTGACTTTATTGTACAAGCTACATGCTTTCCTTGTCCCTTGCACACTTTCCTCAGAGTTTCAACCCCTTGACAGTCTTGATTTAGATTTATTTTTCTTCTAGTTCTAGTGGTAATTTGATTTAGATTCCATTTACTTCTTATACTAAACATTTTTGCTAGATTTGTAATTGCTAATTTAGTGACATGCATAAAGCAAGTTTGTTTCTTGTCCATCTAGGTGCAATAGGTGGTATTCTTCTTATGGTGATTCTATCGTTTCTTCTTATTCTCCACAAAGAGAAAAAGAAGGGGCAAGAATTCTTCAAAAAGAACGGCGGCCCTACATTAGAGAAGGCAAATGTCATCAAACTTTTCAAAAAGGAGGAACTCAAACCAATTTTGAAGAGTAGCAACTTGATAGGTAAAGGTGGCTTTGGTGAAGTTTACAAGGGCCATCTTGACAATAAAGAAGTTGCAATAAAGAAGCCGATCAGTGGCAGTGTGCTAGAGAATGAACAATTTGCAAATGAAGTCATCATCCAATCTCAAGTCATCCACAAGAACATTGTTAGGCTCATTGGTTGTTGCCTTGAAGTTGATGCCCCCATGCTGGTCTACGAGTTTATCACCCAAGGTAGCCTCCATGACAATCTTCACAGCAACAAGAACAATGTAGCTCTCAACTTGGATGCGCGTTTAAGTATTGCTGCACAGTCAGCGGATGGTCTAGCTTATATGCACTCAAAAGCAAATATTAGAATTCTACACGGTGATGTCAAACCAGCAAATATACTCTTGGATGATAACCTTGTACCCAAGATTTCAGACTTCGACATATCTAGGTTGATTGCGAGAGACAAGCAACACACTGGATCAGTCATCGGAGACATGAATTATATGGATCCAGTATATATACAGGAAGGCCTCCTCACCGAGAGAAGTGATGTCTATAGTTTCGGAGTTGTAATCCTGGAGCTTATCAGCAGTAGGATGGCCATACTTTCCGAGAATAATAGCTTGGTAAAGAGCTTTCTTGAAGCCCATAAGAAAAAGAAGAAGGCCACCGAGTTTTTTGACAAGGAAATCAATAGCAGAAGATTTGGAGCTTCTTGACAGTCTTGCGGTTATGGCGGTGGAATGCCTTAGCCTGGATGTAGATCAAAGACCAACGATGATGGAGGTAGCTGAGCGGCTACACATACTGAGTCGATCCGGTAAGGTGCAAGATGTTTGTCACTAATTGAGCTGTTTCCGGCACAATCCTTCAAACATGATCAGCAGTGGAGATCTCCTTTGGTCAGGGAAAAAAATAATTATAACTGTGTTTTTAAGGTGGCCGAATGTTTGTACGTTGCATCTGTAACCGTATTTCTAAGATGGCAGTACACGTTTGTACGCTGCACTACATCTTTTTACAAAAACTGTAACCGTGTTTATTTTTTGAATAACTTGGATTGTTTAACACATGTGTCACGTGGTAAATTGTAACCATGTTTATTTTTTGAATAACTTGAATTGTTTACCACATGTGTCACGTTGTAAATTGTAACCATGTTACAGGTAACACGTTATGTAACACATTATGACACCGCAAAAGAAAAAAGATAACACATTATGTTTGCTTGCACCAGCACAGTTTGAACGCACTATCTTTACAGGCTGTATGAAAAGCCAACTGGTGCTGTGAGGAAACGACGGCATACTATTTGGTTTCTGCTGCAGCATGTGGCTTGGTCGTCCCCTATAGTACGTTGGCATTCTTTTCTTTCTTCGGTCAAAAGTGAAAGAGGTTTTTAATTAAACAGTACTAACAGTCAGTCGAGTGCTATGTTCTTGTAACCAGTATTGTAGTTCAGTTGGGTAAATTTAAACTCTATGGTTAGTTGGGGTTGTGATATTGACTTGTCGCATTAGGACAACTCTAGCCTATCCCTATCCGGGTATAAAGGAGTAAAATTTCGGTTTTACCCCTCTAACCAGCGCCTAGCCGATCCCCAAAAACGAATGGAGTATTTTTTTTTACTCCATCTCCTGTCAGGCGCCTAAATATACTCGGCCGCTACGACACAGAGTAAAAAAGTATGTCTCGCTTGCGCCTCCCACCCCTTCCTCCCTCACCGCCTCTTCGTCGGTGCACCTCCCAGAGACCGTCCGCTGGCCTCGCCACTACCTCGCCGCATCCCTTGGCTCTCGCCATCCTTCTGGCCGACTCCCAGCCTGTTCGCCGCTCATCGTCGTCGCCGGAATAAAGGTGAAAGGTCGCCACTGTCGCCATAACCGATTCGTCAGATTGCTCTTGAATATTCTTCCTCTTTGGCGGCCGCTGATGAGGTCACCTATTACAGGTAGGGTCAAGGACCCATCATATGAGGCCCACATGGGACCCCACTCCATCATTGGTAGGTCCCTGGACCATACGAGCATTCGGATGCATATACGAGGAAGTCCGCTCGGGCACCTCGACGGCACTCGGATGACCACCCGTCACTCGGCTGGACAATCACCACTCGGACTAGAGAGATGAAGGGACGGCATGGAAGCTGCAACGGTCGAGGAATTCTAAGTCGTCCTTAAAGCGGAGTCAAGACTACCGTTACCTGTAAGGGTGCAACTGTTGTAGTAGTCTCTTTACACCTGTAACTGACGCAATTAATATCATTAAGCGCCCTTTTGACATGAAGAGCATGCGGCTGCGGCGCACTCTATATAAGCTGCCCTCCACCTCCGTAGCCAGGTTCAGGCAATCTCTCTAACTATACCCATCAAGAAAAATCAAGCCTCGGAGCATGAGAAGTAGGGATGTTACCTCCGCCGAGAGGGGTCTGAACTCGTTAAACACGGAGTGTTACACATGCGCTATAGCTAGGCTCTACCCCTCTTTCGTACCCCTAGTACTCATTGTCAGGATCGTAACCCCGACAGTTGGCACCCACCGTGGGGCCAGGCATCTAACAAAGTTTCACGGCGTAGGTGAATTTCTTCATCATCATGTTAGTCGGCGGGGAAATCCATTTCAGATGCTCTCCTTCATTGTTGACGACTCAACGTGGCTTCGCGTGGCCCCGCTGGACGTGGAGGCGCTACCTGTCCGCAGTGGGGCGCATTTCCGCATGTCCTCTTATCGTATGGAGTCCTTCTCTAGCAGCCCTCGGCTCTGTACCGAGAACGCTCGGCTGCATTCAGGTCATACTGCACCCGGAGCAGGCAGGCGCGGGTGCTGACGATGAGGGAGAACGCTCGGCTGCATGGGTTCCCAGACTAGTACCACATATACGTACGGCCCCATCAAAGAGCGCACGGTAGGTTCATATCAGCTGTCGAGTAAAGTCGATTTTAAACCCTGAATTTGTAGAGGCAGTCCAAATCAGACCTTGAACTCTGAATCCCTGAAGTCGACACCCTATATTCAGTGATCCCTGTCAATTCAAGCCCTGAAACTATTTGTCGCACCAGGAAAAAGACAATCCCGGCCGGGATAACCTACTTCTCTCACTGACTCTTTAGACCCAGTTTGATTCTCACACACATTGCATTGTATTTTTGTGTACAAATTTTTACTCACCCAGCAATTACCATATAAGCAAGTAATAAAGGAACACAAAAATAGCAAAAGCAAAAAGACATGAAAACAAAAAAAACAGAAAGGAAAATAAAGGAAGGGAGGGCAGGGTTGGGCTTTAGCCCAGTAGTAAATTGACAGAACCAAATATGTGGTCAGTTAAAACAAACAGCCAAAGGCAACTCAAAGAGCAAACTAAAGAAACAGTGCACATATCTCGAAGCAGAAATCTACGGTAAAAAAATCAACTGAACCAAATTCAATTTTCAGACGAATTACGTTCAGCAAGTGTGTACAGTATTACAGCGGTGGCAGACAACAACATTCCAAACGGGACCAAGCAATTTTCAAACTAAATGTTGGTGCACAAATTAGTGGCTTTGGTATTAATATTTAAGGAAAACTAAAATAAAATATTATTTCTTTTTAAATAATTAGGTTTCTAAGGGTGAATGAAATAGTTACATCCGTATTCCCATTTAAAAATTAGGAAAATAAACTAAAAAATAGCAAAAAAAATCAAATGATGAGGTTCTTTAAAAAAAAGTCCCATCGGTATTACCCTTTAAGAAGTAAGAAAATGAAAGAATTAAAAAAAAACAATAACAAAATTTGTACCCAATTAGTGGCTTTTTCGTTTTACCCTTGAGGAAGAAACAAAATGAAATTATAACAAAAACAATAAACAGTGAGGTGTCTAGTGAAGAATGAATTAGTGACATTTGTATTGCCATTTAAGAGAAAAGAAAATTAAAAAAAACTGAAAAAACAAAATCAAAATAATGAGATTTTCTAGGGAAGAATGGATCAGTGCGATTGGTTATACCCTTTAAGAAGAAAGAAAAAGAGTAAAAAAACTGAATCAAAATAAAAACGTTTTCTAGGGAAGAATGAATTGGTGACAGCGCTATTACCCTTTAAAAAGAAGGAAAATAATAAAAAAAACAATCCAAAAACGAAATCAAAATAATATTTTAAAGAAAGAATGAATTGGTGGTTTCGGTATTACCCTTTAAGAAGAAAGAAAATAAAAAATTAAAAAGGAATGATTTTTTTATTTGAAAAAAAGGTAGTTTTCTAAGAAAGAATGGAATAGTGGCATTGGTATCACCCTTAAAGAAGAATGCAAAATGAAATGATAACTAAAAAAATTAAAATAATGATTTTTGTAAGGAACAATGAATAATTGTCTTTGGTATTAACCTTTAAGAAGAAAGATAATAAAAAAACTCGAAGACAACTTTACACTAAAATTTCACCTTTTCTAGTATGCAAAGAACCATATAATAGTTTGATTCTCACACACATTGCATTGTATTTTTGTGTACAAATTTTTACTCACCCAGCAATTACCAAAAAAGCAAGTAATAAAGGATCACAAAAAAAGCAAAAGCAAAAAGACATAAAAACAAAAAAACAAAAAGGAAAATAAAGGAAGGGAGTTCAGGGTTGGGCTTTAGCCCAGTAGTAAATTGACTAACCCAAATATGTGGTCAGTTAAAACAAACAGCCCAAGACAACTCAAAGAGCAAACTAAAGAAACAATGCACAGATCTCAAAGCAGAAATCTACGCTAAAAAAATCAACTGGCCCAAATTCAATTTTTAGACGACCTACGTTCACCAAGTGTGTACAGTATTACAGCGGTGGCAGAAAACAACATTCCAAACGGGACCAAGCAATTTTCAAACTGAATGTTGGAGCACAAATTAGTGGCTTTGGTATTTATATTTAAGGAAAACGAAAATAAAATATTATTTCTTTTTAAATAATTAGGTTTCTAAGGGCGAATGAAATAGTGACATCCGTATTACCATTTAAAAATTAGGAAAATAAAATAAAAAATAGCAAAAAAATCAAATGATGAGGTTCTTTAAAAAAAAGTCCCATCGGTATTACCCTTTAAGAAGTAAGAAAATGAAAGAATGTAAAAAAATAATAACAAAATTTGTACCCAATTAGTGGCTTTTTCGTTTTACCCTTGAGGAAGAAACAAAATGAAATTATAACAAAAACAATAAACAGTGAGGTGTCTAGTGAAGAATGAATTAGTGACATTTGTATTGCCATTTAAGAGAAAAGAAAATTAAAAAAAACTGAAAAAACAAAATCAAAATAATGAGATTTTCTAGGGAAGAATGGATCAGTGCGATTGGTTATACCCTTTAAGAAGAAAGAAAAAGAGTAAAAAAACTGAATCAAAATAAAAACGTTTTCTAGGGAAGAATGAATTGGTGACAGCGCTATTACCCTTTAAAAAGAAGGAAAATAATAAAAAAAACAATCCAAAAACGAAATCAAAATAATATTTTAAAGAAAGAATGAATTGGTGGTTTCGGTATTACCCTTTAAGAAGAAAGAAAATAAAAAATTAAAAAGGAATGATTTTTTTATTTGAAAAAAAGGTAGTTTTCTAAGAAAGAATGGAATAGTGGCATTGGTATCACCCTTAAAGAAGAATGCAAAATGAAATGATAACTAAAAAAATTAAAATAATGATTTTTGTAAGGAACAATGAATAATTGTCTTTGGTATTAACCTTTAAGAAGAAAGA